ACACACACTATATACACACTATACCCCCATACATAACACTACACCTCTGCACCTACACACACTATATACACACTATACCCCCATACATAACACTACACCTCTGCACCTACACATTATACCCCTATACATAACACTACACCCCCTGCTACTACACACTATACCCCCTATACATAACACTACACCCCCTGCACCTGCACACACTATATACACACTATACCCCCTATATACACACTACACCTTCTGCACTCACACACTCTATACCCCCTATACACTGCACTCAATCACTACACAAACTCTATACTCCCTATAAACACACATATTACTCTGCATACGCACACACACAAAAGCACTACACACTCTATACCCCTATAAACACCTCACCACTGCATTCATACTATGCCGATATACACCTCCTGTGCACCCACTGTACCCCTATGCACACACAACTCCCCTAAACACACACTACACCCCCTATTATTACCACACCAATACACACATGTGCACAACACCTATACGCATACACATAATGCCACCCCCTGCAACTCCTAGATACACGAAATACAGTCCTTACATGCAAACGCAACACACCACTAGGCACACACACTCTAAAGACCCTATAAACACACACACACACACACACACACAATATACAGCCCAAAAACACACCTATACACTACAGGCCCCAGCTACATATTATACACCACAAACAGACCCCTTTACACTCTACAGCATAACCGATCTCCTTTACACACATGCAATCACATAAAAAAGATCCAAACACATATAACACCGCAGGGAGCATTCCCACACGTGCAAAACACATGTTAACAATCCTTTTCCACAAATGGGGACACCAGAGACAAGTCACTAGGACTTTTTCTCCATCAGACAGCACTGAATGCTCTGGTGGGGTATCACACTAACATAACAATTGGGAGGGCGGGGGGTGCTTGTCAATAGTGGCGATATAACGTGCCACATTTCTGGCCCACCCTTCCTAGTGGGCTGCTCTGCCTGGGCTGACTTTTTGTCCCAGTCCAGCCCTGTTCACCGGCCCACATGCAGGAGAGGACCCGGGGAGCTCTAGCCAGCAGCTGGGTTCCTCTCGCGAGGTCGGAGTGTTGCCACGGCCACGCTCAGATCTTGTGAGAGTGAACTCTAGCCCTGCAGGCTAGAGTTCACTCACTAGGACCACCAGAGTTCAGGCATGGCAGCAGTATATATATATATATATATATATATATATATATACACACACATATATACGCGACGTGTGTGTTTGTGCTTTAGGGTGCACATCCTAATGCAATAGGCTGCGCACGCCTATGCCTCTAGGGCAAAAACATGCACAGTCCTTGTAATTGAATATACTCAGGCACTTTATTTGCAAATCCACACAGGATACAGCAGTAAATTAAATGTAACACAAAACCCTATAAACAAAAACCTAGCTCGGTCTGAGCACTAACTCACTTTGAACGTCCCTCTCTAGCAGGGTTAAACTAACAAAACATATGGCACCAACCTTATTAGTTAGCAACACTCTGCTAGCTAGCCTGTTGCTTTCCTTTCTGCACTCCCAGTTCTCCAAGCCAGCCTTGCCCTGACTGCTTTCCTTTCTGCACTCCCAGTGCTCCAAGCCAGCCTTGCCCTGACTGCTTTCCTTTCTGCACTCCCAGTGCTCCAAGCTAGCCTTGCCCTGACTGCTTTCCTTTCTGCACTCCCAGTGCTCCAAGCCAGCCTTGCCCTGACTGCTTCCTTTCTGCACTCCAAGTGCCTAGTCTCCTTGACTCTATCTGGAGAGAACAGCCTCTCTCTCCTACCTGCTTCCTGGGAGGAAGCCAGCAATCCCTCTCCTTTTCCTGCCTAGCCGGGAGGGGTTTATTCCCACTGCAATAGCTCATTAACTGCAGCTGAGCAGTGGATTGGAGACGATCCAAAAAACCCTGGCCTGGATCTATGTCTCCCCAGAAAACCACTAAACTGTGGAGGGGAGCACTGGCCCACCCTTCTCTCCAAATGCTCCACCCCAGGGGCCCATAACTAAACAATGCTTTGTGTAACACACACAAACTACACATACTCCCCCTGGGGTTAAAAGGCCTATCTGCCTTCACTTTATCACAATATATATATATGTATATATATATATATATATAAACAAAATCTAAATAGGTTATGGTGAGGAAAAATTGTGATTCAAAACCCCTTCCACCTGAAGTATGTGGATAGTTAATACAATGCTAAACAAAAATCTGCACACCAGTCAAGCCATAGACTTGCTTTTCCCACAGAAATCCCAAATCAGCAGTGATGTTACAACCGCAAAGGATTCTGGGTGGGCATATGCAAATTAGTTTAACAAAGAATCACATTTTTGCCTCATTCCATTTTAAACATGGATTCCTTTTAATTTGTGTTTGCAGTATACAACTGCTTGGAACACAATTAAAAGGAAAACCATGTTTAAAATGGAATGAGGCAAAAATGTGATTCTTTGTTAAACTAATTTGCATATGCCCACCCAGAATCCTTTGCGGTTGTAACATCAGTGCTGTTTTGGGATTTCTGTGGGAAAAGCAAGTCTTATGGCTTGACTGGTGTGCAGATTTTTGTTTAGCATTGTATTAACTATCCACATACTTCAGGTGGAAGGGGTTTTGAATCACAATTTTTCCCCACCATAACCTATTTAGATTTTGCTTCCCAAGCACTACCAAGCCTCAATTAGCAAACCAGTAACCAACCTCATGCTGAAGAGTTGCATTAACAACGAAACAGCTGTCCATGAGTGGTTCACTGGTTTTGCATCTTATCCTAAATTGTGTTCCAAGCAGTTGTATACTGCAAACACAAATTAAAAGGAATCCATGTTTAAAATGGAATGAGGCAAAAATGTGATTCTTTGTTAAACTAATTTGCATATGCCCACCCAGAATCCTTTGCGGTTGTAACATCACTGCTGATTTGGGATTTCTGTGGGAAAAGCAAGTCTTATGGCTTGACTGGTGTGCAGATTTTTGTTTAGCATTGTATTAACTATCCACATACTTCAGGTGGAAGGGGTTTTCAATCACAATTTTTCCCCACCATAACCTATTTAGATTTTGCTTCCCAAGCACTACCAAGCCTCAATTAGCAAACCAGTAACCAACCTCATGCTGAAGAGTTGCATTAACAACGAAACAGCTGTCCATGAGTGGTTCACTGGTTTTGCATCTTATCCTAAATTGTGTTCCAAGCAGTTGTATACTGCAAACACAAATTCAAAGGAATCCATGTTTAAAATGGAATGAGGCAAAAATTTGATTCTTTGTTAAACTAATTTGCATATGCCCACCCAGAATCCTTTGCGGTTGTAACATCACTGCTGTTTTGGGATTTCTGTGGGAAAAGCAAGTCTTATGGCTTGACTGGTGTGCAGATTTTTGTTTAGCATTGTATTAACTATCCACATACTTCAGGTGGAAGGGGTTTTGAATCACAATTTTTCCCCACCATAACCTAATTAGATTTTGCTTCCCAAGCACTACCAAGCCTCAATTAGCAAACCAGTAACCAACCTCATGCTGAAGAGTTGCATTAACAACGAAACAGCTGTCCATGAGTGGTTCACTGGTTTTGCATCTTATCCTAAATTGTGTTCCAAGCAGTTGTATACTGCAAACACAAATTAAAAGGAATCCATGTTTAAAATGGAATGAGGCAAAAATGTGATTCTTTGTTAAACTAATTTGCATATGCCCACCCAGAATCCTTTGCGGTTGTAACATCACTGCTGTTTTGGGATTTCTGTGGGAAAAGCAAGTCTTATGGCTTGACTGGTGTGCAGATTTTTGTTTAGCATTGTATTAACTATATATATATATATATATATATATATATATATCATAGTTAAATCAAGCAATAAAATTACATGTTTATATATTAAACTGAAGTTTGGGGAAAACTGACATGGTCATCATTTTCCATAGCGCTGTTATTCAATTAAGTATTTAAATAAAGGGGGGCGGAGCCAAGCAGCCGAGCTGAACAGCCACACTGAACGAGAGCTCCAAGCCGCGAGTGCTAAAATACCTTCCCACAAGACTCTTTACCTTTCCTTGGATCACTTGCAATGATTTAGCATGATGGGAGAGGCACCATGGGTCAAAGGACCAAGAAACAAATGGCAGATAAGTATGGACCTAAATATTGGCAACTTATGGACTTGTGTGAATAACTGATCAAACAATTAAGCACCAGGCCTAATAGAATAAATTAAATATATAGATAACTTAAGTAAAGAGTCTGTTTTAGGTTAAATTAGTAACCAACCTGGTTAATATCAGAAGAGGTTTTAATAAATTAGTTAGTAATGAAAGGATAGTGAGAACCTTGTAAACATCTTATAATAATGTAAACAATTATATCAGAAGAAAGTAAACTAGTAGAATCGTACGTAAAATGAGTATTCACTAATGAGTAATAAAATGTATAACCAGAGGAGTTTAACCACAGGTTAGCCTCCTACTTACAATATGGAGTTAGGTTTGAATCGGTTGTGAAATCTATTCAAACAGTGTCTTTCTGGATGACTCAGGGAGGAAACAGTTACCTGCTTTACTGTAATGGGATTGAATTTAAGCAGAATGAGAACAATTTTTAGCTGAACGCTGTCGAATTTCACATAAACAAACAATGCAATTCTGACTGACAGAGGTTGAATTCGGACTTAGCGAAAGTCAAAATTGGCCCGAACCAAAAGATTGAATTTCGCCAAATGCTGGATAGTAAGGATTCAGTGACTGAAAACCGTATGAAATCTCTGTGTTTGAAAATCCTGCGAACCAGGAACTGGAAGTGGCGTGCTATGAAGGCCACGATACGGTTACTGACAAGAGGAGGATAGTGCTTTAAA